GATAGCCACACCAGCCGCTGAACCTGCATGAACTGAGTAAAGACAAAGCCCTTTGCGCGGTGCACTGAGCCCTACGCCAGTGGAAAAGGCTGATTTGCACAACACGTTAGATCACACACTCGAGCCAGGTTGAAGCCCCTCAGGCTTAGCAAGCTGTGCCAGTGGAACCGCTAGGCTTGGCCTAAGAGGTCTAGGCTGGGGACCCTCAACACGGGGAAGGCCTTTCCTCTTCCTGAAGGAAGCCGCCCCCGATAGCCTTGTCTCCTGGGGAACCCCCAAGGGACTCCTGCATTTCCTGGGCTCATATGCAACCTCACCCTTGTTGGGGGAATCCTCAGCCAGAGGGCCTGGCACTCCACCCATCCTGGGACAGAGTGAGCAGCAGCAGCTCGGCCAGCTCTCAGGGTGGCTCCTCTGAAGCCGGGAGGGGCTGGCTGGGAAGGGCAGAGCAGAGCAGGGCTTTGGGAGTTTGGCGGGTGGGTGGGGAACCCGTGGCCAAGCCCCTTCCCTGCTGGCTTTGGGTGCTTAAGGCCCTCGCGCCTCCTGAGACGCTTGGCCGCCTTGATCTCTTGCAGGCAGTCCTGGGCGAGCACCAATGGTGCCACCTGTGCGGGGTCGCCCCCTCCAGACCTGCACGGCTGGCTCCCTGTGGGAGCCTTCTACAGGCATGCAATGAGATAACATCATCGGCTGCAGCTGTGTGTTTCTACAGGGCCCTTGACTTGTCGGAAAGGAGGGTGCTTCCTCATGAATCTTTACATCCTATTTATGAGGCTGTTGACATTTGCCTGATTTATTTATGCCTCATTCTCCTCTTTCTGTGATTCCCCCTTGTCATCCAGGTGCATAGAGCGGCAGGGCATAAATCAAAACAGCAAACTAAAAGCAGGAGACAAACAAGGGGCCCCACAGCCACCAAAGTGTTTTGTGCTCAGTGGAGAGTGAGATTCCAGTCCGGATTGGTCATGAGAACAGTTCCTTTCCCCTGGCCAAACCCTCCCGTGACCCTTGGCCCTTCCCTCTCCTTCCCCGCCATGGGATTCCTGAGCGTTGATCCTTAAGATAACCACAACTGTGCACAGAGCTCGAAACAGCCATGCTCAGTGTTGTTTTGTGTGGCGAGAGAACCCGAAGGCACGGAGGGGAATCGCTCCACTCCGCGGGAGAAAACCCGCTGTCTGTTGGGCCAACTTGCTTGTCTGCCTAAAGGCAATTAAAAGCAGGCTTGTGGGGTGGGGCGGGCAGCCCCGGCCGCGCATCAGCCCCCTCCAGGCCAGAGCTGTGCGGGAGAGAAGGGCACACCATTCGCCCCCTCCCCTCTCTTACTCTGGCCGTGGAGCAGCTCGTCTTAGAACTGGCTGGCCGCAGATGCTCCGTGCTCCTGACCCACCAGTCATGCCTGGGTGGATGGGACCAGCATTTGGGTCGCTGCCTGAGACAAAGTGGGCCATGGGGGATAAAACTAGGAATCACCTAATGTGTGTTTGGAAAAAGGTGGGCCTTGTACCTGAAATGCTACTTGCTGCATGAGCTCTCTGTTCGTAACTGCTACCTCTCCTTTGCCCCCAGCCCCATTTTCCAAGGGAATGTCCATAGGAAGCCCTTCTGAACCTCAGAGAGAAGGCACAGATCCTGCCCCCAGCCACCGTGCCGCCCCTCTGCCTTCTGGGCTGTCCACTGCTGGTGATCCGGTGCGGAGCTAGAACTGGTCCTCAGGCCAACACAGATAGGCGTCTAATTCATATTAACTGCTCCATTTAAGGCAGAGGCTTCGACATCTCCTAATAACGCCGGCAACTGGGGCTTCGTATCTGCAATGCTGATGCAGGGCGTCGTGACATTTGCCACAAAATGCAAGACGCCAAGACCAAATGGTGGCAGAGGAGTTCCAGCGTAAAACACAGACTCGCTTCCTCATTCTTACAGCAGGAAAAAAATGCAGCTCGTGATACGCTTCCCACCGAAATGTCACCCCGGGGGCTCAATCTGCACGCAAAGCACAGGATGGGCCAGGGCCACGGCTGAACCAAAGACTGCCTCACCCCCAACGGGTGGGCGGAGGCTGCCGTGCTCCGCTGCCATAAACAGGGCTTGGCCAGGGAAGAGACCCTGCCAGGTCTCATCTGGGCCTGTGCCCTCCTGCTCAGCTCAGAGAGAGAGGGCTCAATCGCGTGAGGCCCCCAAGGGCCTGCCTCCACTCTCGCTGGCTCTCCTCAACGGGCAGCAGGTCAGCCCTCCTGGCTGGGCACCCAGGCTACAGGAACGGAGATGCCTGCGCCAGGAGGGAGGCCGCCCTGTGTAATCTGCTGCCAGAGGGACCCTCCTCTCTGGCACCCCCCCGACCAGTCCAGTCCAGTCCAGCCCCCCAACTTACCAGGCCTGCTTGATGTGGTGCCCAGGCCAGTTGTGGCTGCAGTGGGTGATATGGGGGTGGGTGGGCACAGGCAGGGTGGTGCTGTAAACCGGGTATGGCAGCATGAGCAGGGCCGAGAGCATCCAGGTGGTGGCAATGACCCGGTAGGCGTGGGAGCGGGTCTGCCACACGCGGGACTGCAATGGCCTGCAGATGGCGCTGTAGCGCTCAATGGCGATGGCCACTAGGCTGAAGGTGGAGACGCTCACTGACACCCCTGCGGGAGGGAGGGGAGGAGGCAGGTCAGGCAGCCCCTGGTCACCCTGCCCTTTCCCGGGGAGAGGGCGAAGGTGGGCGCAGGCCGTGCAGCCTTGGGCGCAGCTGCCAAGGCACAGGAGCCGGCCGGCTTCCCTCTGCCCCCCACCCTGGCCCTTCTGCCAGCAACGCAGCTGGGCCCAGAGAACGCTTGGCCCTCCGAACCAGGATGAGCTCCCCTCACCCATCAGGTAGGCGATGGCCTTGCAGATGACCTTCCCGAAGATGAAGGAGTGCATCAGGTTGGGGATGATGGTGAAGGGCAGGCAGAAGAGAGCCACCATGAGGTCACTGAGTGCCAGCGAGAGCAGGAAGGAGTTGGTGACGGTGCGCAGGCGCTTGTTCACCACCAGCACCGCGATGACGAGCGCGTTCCCACACAGGCCCAGCAGGAAGATCACTGAGTAGAGCAGCACCCTCACGGCCAGGTCCAGCTCTGGAAGGGGCAGAGCAGAGGACCCCCCAGCGGAGTCAAGGGCCAGGCTGGTACCCCACGGCCCGCTTGCGGGAGAGGGCAGGCACAGCAAGGAAGCCCTCTCTCCCCCCGTTTGAACCTGGACTGGGATCTTCACCTCGAGGGGTATCTGGGAGCTGGGTGTTGTGCCTGGCCTTGCTCTCATGCCCACCTGCTGCCCCCAGGCCTTTCCCTGGGTGCTGCTGACAGGGCGGCTGGGACCCATGGGACCCAGAACAGAGGGTGGGGAGGGAAAGTAGGCATGGACCACGGTCTCCAGATGCACCCAACAGAAGGGTCCAAAATGTCGCTGCCCCCCCCACCCCCGCCAGGGCAAGGCTTCCCTTGCCTGCTCGGCTCTGGAGATTCCCAAAAGGTCCAGTCTGACAGCCGCTCTGCTGGAAAGAGGGAGGCCGACCTGGGCGACTCTGGGGAGGGGTGCCTTTCTTCG